CTGTTAGCGTAACTCACCCAGCTTTAAGGACACTGACTGCTATTCAATCTATAACAGTGAAAAAAGATTATTATTTTTTTTAAATCCAAGCTATTGTGACACCAGATCTAATTAGTGGCACTTGTCAGCGTATCCACTGTTAGCGTAACACACCCGCTTTAAGGACACTGACTGCTATTCAATCTATAACAGTAAAAAAAGTTTTTTGTTTTTAAATCCAAGCTATTGTGACACAGATGTAATTGGTGGCACTGACTGGGGAAATGGGCACAGTATGCACTGTGAGCCTGACACAGAAGCTGGCATCAGTGGCAGACAACTGACTGCTATTCAATCTATAACAGTGAAAAAAGTTTTTTGTTTTTAAATCCAAGCTATTGTGACACCAGATGTAATTGGTGGCACTGACTGGGGAAATGGGCACAGTATGCACTGTGAGCCTGACACAGAAGCTGGCAGCAGTGGCAGACAACTGACTGCTATTCAATCTATAACAGTGAAAAAAGTTTTTTGTTTTTAAATCCAAGCTATTGTGACACCAGATGTAATTGGTGGCACTGACTGGGGAAATGGGCACTGTGAGCCTGACACAGAAGCTGGCAGCAGTGGCAGACAACTAAGTGCATTTACATTACATAGAAAAAAAAAATCCAAAAAAAGCATACCCTTATCCCTAACCTAGCTATGCTTTTCCCTATCTTATGAACAGCAGCTACACTTTCCCTCCTCTTACTAAGCATGCAGCTTGAGAATGAATCTAAAATGGATGCTGTCCAGTAGGTGGGAGGGTCTGCTAGGGAGGCTGTGCTGCTAATTGGCTGGAATGTGTCTGCTGACTGTGAGGTACAGGGTCAAAGTTTACTCAATGATGACGAATAGGGGGCGGGTCGAACCGCGCATATGTTCGCCCGCCGTGGCGAACGCGAACATGCTATGTTCGCCAGGAACCGTTCGCCGGCGAACCGTTCGGTACATCACTAGTTAGAATAATAGCAGCCCGGCAAAGGTTCAAAGCACACTAGTCTTTTTGTGACTCAATTGGCATTGATTCAGGGTTTTATGGTTGGCACTTGGGGGAGAACAACTGCTGATGCTTTTTCCTCAGAGATTATTATATCTCTGAGTTATAGGGCTTGGGAATGTTTGATTTGTATGTTGTTTTTTTGTGTTATTTTACTGGTGTTAAAGAAGTGAGTCTCCTAACCTTTCCAGCTGATAATTCATATGCAGATGTATTTTGGTCGTTAGACTAGTTACTATCAATGCTCAATGGATTCATTTACATTTTAAGAGGCATAGTATATTAGACTTTTCAAGAAAAGAATATATTCACATTGGTGCCCATCAAGAAACACATTAGAAGCAGAAGGACAAGAATAAGGAGAGAGTATGCATAAGCTTATTATTTCTGAATTATACACTAATATCACTAAACAAACTAGCTTTATTGTCCAGGATAAGTATTTTATCTTTTCAGCTTATAATGGGTAATTCATCAGTTTACTTTGCTCTTGCTAACATTTTTCCTCAAGTTCATCACATTTTCGAATACATTTGCTTTGCTTTCCCCTTAAAAAATAATTTAGAGTGATCTTTTTTCCTATACCCAGTTATACATTACTAAACATATCAAACACAACAGCTTCAACTAAGAACATTTGTTACTCTAAAGGCTTTCAGTTTGAAGGAGTGTTGGCAGAATTCCCTGATTTCCTGGTATCTTGGCATTAAATGTAAGACTTACTAAGTTTGGTTAACCACAAACCCTCTGAGGATTAATTGCTAAATCTATATTACATATTTGCACAGTCACACCCCAAGGAAATGCTAACATTGCAAGGAGGTAAGAACTTTCTTTAACCCCTTTATTGTAGCAGTTTATCTTTGCTTGCTCTGAAGAACACTTTAGTTCAGTAACTTGTAGACTTGGTGATTGGAACTGAATTGCAATTTGTCCAAACTCAGGCACAAGAATTTCTTCTTTTTAAACCTCTATGTTTCAGAAACTGGGGGGGATCGTCTTGTGAGAGTCCAAGCTTACTAGTTTTCATTCACAATTCATTCCTATCACTAGAAAAAAAGGGGAATGGCATAGACAAGAAACTGTTTTCTATTGTGGGTGGGTTCATGTCAAGATTAAGCTCTCCAACATGCAAACTAAGGGGCTCAAAAGTCACACAAAGCCAGACGTATTACCGGTCCCTCGAATGGCCGGACTCAACGTGAAAAGGTACAGGGATGAGAAAAGAAAGGTCAGACAAGCCAAGGTCAGGATAGGAGACGGAAGAAAAAGCGAATAACAAAGCCAAGGGTAAAGGATGCCAGAAGTACGGATAACCAGAAAACAAGTCGAAGTCAGATACCAAAACAGACAAACCAACAGAACGTACTCTCGGGCTACAAGAGACCATGACAGGGCAAGGAAGTGATATAAATATGGCTAAGTGCTAGCTGATAGGCTAGGAAACATAATAAGAAAGTAATTAAATAGAGTGCCAATTCAAAGGTAAAAAATGGTACTTCCCCTTTAAGAAGCCGGAGACAAGTCGCATGCCCCCTAGCTAGTAAAAGTGCGTGCATGCGGGTGCATGCAATGTCGGCTGGGCATCTGCACAGCGTGGTAAGAAAGGACGGACAGCGGGACCGGAGCAGGGCGGGCCGGGAGGAGGTATGACAGTTCAAATCAGTAGCTTAGATTCCCATGATGGACAAAATTAATCATATGGGCTGTCCAATCAAGAGGTACGAAAAAATATATAATTGATGGGTAGGGGGCAGGCACTAAATGCTGATTTTATTCACAGATCAAGTAAAGTGATCAATAAATAAGAATATAAAAGAGGAGAAATATAACAACTCTACTTCTAAGCTGGATTTTTCTAGACAGTTTGACTTAAGCTATTGAAGGTGACAGATCAGCATCTACACTTGTGAGTGTGCCCTCCTAGATTAGCTATATCCAATTGTATTTTGCCCTATGTGGTTATGTTGTCTCTCTTTTACATGTGTTGTTGCCAATTTAGAGCCATCTGACACTATTTCATGTTATTATTGACATGTTAGCATGTAAGTAAAGTGTGGCACTCTACACTGTGTTTATGCATAGTATTGCAGCACTTTATTGTCTATTTGGAAGTGTTTATTGCACTGTTGCACATCCATGTTTGCACATAATATTATATATAAAAAAACTGAAAAGGGTAATTAAACATCAATGATAAAATGGGCAGCAATATCGAAGATACAAAAACTAGAATGTGTATGTGCGCTCCTCAAATGAAAATGTCAATAATATAAAACAAATAGTACACTGAACAGAAGCAAAGATCAGCCGGACTAACATTCCCACATTTAAAACAATATAAATTATTTATTGAGCATTAATGTATCTTTAAAACAGGATCAATTGTATCAAATAAATAGCAACAGTGTGCATAGATAATATGACAGTACTGGCCACAAGTAAAGGGATTATGCATAAAATCCCCACCAAAAAGCTTGTCACAATTTCAAATAAATAAGAACATGACAATCCAAATATGCAATCAAAAGGTATCACTCCTGTAGAGGATAAGATACTAAATCACCATACAAGTGGTCAGAAATGGACATACTGGCTATAAGGGAAATATCCCACTAAATCACCCCAAAAAATGGTGATATAAAGCTAACATAACAAAAAAATAACGAGTAAAGTGCTGATGTCCCAGTAAAAAAGTCCCAAGAAAATGGAGTGGAGGGTCCACTCCGTGGTGTAAAAAAAAATGGGGGGGTGCCAAGTCCTGATTAATGATGGAGGCAGATGGTGTTTGGCGCCAGGAGGGATCAGCTGCATAGGTCCACTAAGACTCCTCCTGATGCTGCCGTTAAGCGCTAGCAGCTCTCACATGGGAGGATATAATGAATATGCGCGGTAGGTATCTTCAAAAAAGGCAGCATTTTTTCTTTCAGGCTACACCACAGGAACACTTCAGTCCGGCTGAACAAAGAAATGTCTTCGCATTACGTCTCTTATTCCGAGACTTTATCAAGCCATAATAATATATATGTACTTTAGGGAAAATGTATAAGCATAATAATAATAATACATTCTTTTATGCATTCTGTTTAAAAATAAAATACAGCCTTAAATGCACTGTGCACCTTATTTTTTGTTTTTAGGATATATACTTTGTTTAGGAGAACAAAAGATTATATGTATTGTGACGGTAGTCACCATAACTGGGGATGGAAGACAGACACTATATGTAGGTCTCTAGATTCCTCTTGTGTTTTGGTCACCCTGTGCCCAGTATTAGCGCAGGGTATGTTGAATGTATTAATTGTCTGTGCCTTTTCCCCTCCCCATTTTTCTTGTCCTGCTGTTTCTCCAGCAGGGCTTTGTCCCAGGAACACTGCAAGACCAGTTTAAACTAACTGCCCTGTCCCTCCTCTATGTCCCATCAGTCCTTGCTATACTATTGTCTGACCCCACCCTCCCTTGCACTATATTGCTATATGCACACTATTGTATGTAAATTAGGCTGTTGGGGGCTTAAATACGTGTGCTATGTTTATTAAAGTTCCTTGCTGTTTTTTTTTTTTTTTTTTAATTCTTTATTTTTCCGTGCAGAAAAAGGTACATAGCAACAGGCAATGCCACAACAGCGATTGCAAGTGAAATGATCTACATATTAGAGACAATTGTTTGGCATAATAGAACATTGCACATTTTATATATTAGTGTAAATTTGTCAAGAGTGGAATCAACATGTCGGCTAAGAGATATGTGAAACAGGTTAAACATTTGGTATAAACAGGCTGGCATTATTGAAGTATTATGGGGTCGCATGCATAGCTGAGTCACAACTTGTCTGTGCGCTGCTTAAGATCATAAGCTGAACAGTTCGCTGAATCAACACAAATTCTAAAACAAAATAAAAATAAAAAACACTGAACTTGTGGGTAACAAGCTAGTTCAACGTGTCTAGGGATGTACTATTCGGTTCGACTGCGCTTATGTGGTTGTGGGCCCAAGGGCTGCTCCCAGTTATGGCTGCGTGTACAGCATGTTATCAACATTACAATATTATTGTATCGAGACATCCGTGCGGCTAGGTTAACCGACTCCGCTTCAGGTTTAGGGGCATCAAAAAACAAGCCAGCCTCACACTGACGCCATGCTGTACAGCAGGGGACTCGTGTGGGTCCTCCTCTGTTAGGCAAGCTAGTCAGGGCAAGCTTGCGTTATCATATAACATGGCTAAGCTGGTACATATAAAATTACATTCTTTGGTTTATTGTGCTCAAAATTCACTGTACATGCTTGCCTGACCATGATAGCGACACAAGCTCAATTATAATAATTATTGGTGAGTACTAGCACATTTTGTGTGAAAACATTGCGGAGATAACATGTCGGTAAACATACTAAATAAATCTGAATCATGCAGTAGGTAGCTTCTGAGTTAATGCTGACACCGAGGACAGATTACTCTGTGTAGGCTTCATCCCAGACTTTGATAAAGACATATTAAAAGCATTTCACGCTGTACCAGACACGTTCTAAACAATAGTAAAAATACAATTATGAATTTGACGTGTTCTGAGTGCTAAGCGTGTTTGTCTGAAGTTTAGAGTTAGATGTGTATTCAGAAGCGTAAACAGCATGTAGTGTGGGAGGGCTATGTTCTAACATCAAGATATCCGCTGTGTGTGTTAATTATAGCGTGTATGTGAGGGTTGAACTTAAGCATTTAGACGCAGAGACAGTAATAGGCCCGGCATCCCTTCGTGCCATGAGTATGTGTCTTAGCAGACTTTTTGACACCCATGGCGTATGTGATTGGCCCTTGCGGGCTTGGTGGGCTCATTAGGCAAGAGAAAAAAAAAAAAAAACACTTTGGGTCACTGGTGAACCTGGACTCGCGACCCTCCGAGAGGAGTGCATGGCGCTGTACAGTTCTTTTGCAGATCATACGAGGTAAGTCCTACTTCAGGTGGTGGCCTTGGCATAGGAATCCGCGGGCGGTCTCCGCGGAACAAACTCTGGTGCATTTGCAGAGTATCTTCCGTGTTGGCGCGCTTGTCCTGCTGATGGCGTCGCCGGAACCAATGGTTCTGTGGGGAGGCCAAGTAAGTCCAGTAACCCGGTGGCCTCTTGCATGTCGTGTATTACATGCTTGGTGCCTTCCTTGTCAATGTTGAGAGTACGGCCAGGTCCCCAGCGGTACCGGATTTGATGGAGGCGCAGGAGTGCTGTGAGTGGGCTCATTGATCTCCTCCATGCCAGCGTCCCGCCTGATAAATCTGTATAGAAGGAGAGGGTCATTCCTTCAAAGGGGTATGTGGGTTGAGCTCGAACGACCTCCAGAATCGCTTTCTTGTCCCTGAATAGTTGAAACTGGAGAATGACATCCCCTGACGCGGCAGTTGGGGCCTTCGCTGGTCTTGGTATGCGGAATATTTCCTCCAGGATTATTGCTTTCGCTGCCTTTGGGTTCAACAGGTCAGTGAGTAATCTCCTGATGAAATGTGGGAGTTCGGCCTCTGGAACAGAGTCGGCCACCCCCCGTAGCTTTATGTTGTTTCGTCGTGACTTATCTTCGTGGGTTGCGAGTTGTTGCTCAAGTTGCCGGGTTTTCTGTTGCATGTCCCGGATCGTTGCCTGGAGGTCCACGATCTGACTAGAGTGTTTGGTAGAGGTGGCTTCCACTGCCCCCAGCCTGGTAGTAATGCCTTTAATGTCCTGTCTGAGCAGGGCCACATCATCCGCAATTTTCTTGTGGTGGTCTGCCATAAGCGCCCCAATTGCCTCCATGGTCACAGGGGTTGGGGTTTTCGTGGGTGACTGTGCCCATGTAGATAGTGGGTCATGCCTGGGCACTATGGGGTCCCCCTCGTCTTCCTCCGACGACTCGTCTGTAAAGTCGGAGCAGCCGCCGTGCAAGGACGCCATTTTGGCTCCTGCTGCATAGTGCGCCTGCCGCCATAGTTCCCCGATGTCCATGCCCTGACGGGGCTTGTCGGGTTTCACCTTCTTGTTTTTCCGACCCATGGAGCCCGGGGGGTTTTCTGGGTCTTCCTGTGGCAAGTTGGCGTAAGTTGAGATGTCGGTAAAGGTGTTTAATTAGTCCGCTGGTCCGGAGCTCCACGGCCATGCGACCGTCTGGTTCAAACGCTAAGCTCCGCCCCAAAGTTCCTTGCTGTTTTAACTTTCACCAAGTGTCGTCTGATGTTTGGGGAAATCTGCTGATGGAAAGTGCTTCCAGGGTTATAAACACAGTAGCCTGGTCCAGGGTATAAAAGGTCCTCAGTGATCACAGTCAAGCCTCGGCGACTGGGTCTGAAGTGCTCCAGGGTCCCTGATAGCTATGAGGAAGCAGACTTGGCGGAGGTACTCGATCGGAGTCCTGGAGCTCCATCACATTCCTAGTGATTGGGGGAACTCCAAGCTATGACTGGGACACCTGCATGCCTTCTTGAATTTGCCAAGATGGATAGTGCTAGCACCTGTTCAGCACCCCCATCCGAGGAGGAGTTCCAGCAGAGGCTACAAGCAGCTTTGTCCCCTTATGACAGAGGGTGTACTTCAGTGGCATTGCTAGGGGGGGCAGAGGGGGCCATGGCCCCCCTACATCATGCTGTACCCCCCCAAATGCCAGAAACTTGCTGGCCATGTTCTTCCATTATATTCCCTCGGACTGTAACAGTGTGTGTGTCTGTTACAGCCAGAGGGAATGCAGGGCAGAGCAGCTAGAACACTGCTGGGACTGGAGGGAGCAGGTAGGCCATGTGTATGTGTGTGTGTGTGTGTGTGTCTGAGTGTGTGTCTGCTAGTGAGGAAGCTTGTGTGTATGAACTCAGCAGTCTGTGTGTGTGCGTGTATGGACTCAGCAGTCTGTGTATGTGTGTGTGTATGGACTCAGCAGTCTGTGTGCGTGTGTGTGTGTTGACTCAGCAGTCTGTGTGTGTGTGTGTGTGTGTTGACTCAGCAGTCTGTGTGTGTGTGTGTGTGTGTGTGTGTGCATGGGCCTTGGCAGTATATGTGTGTGTGTGTATGGACTCAGCAGTCTGTGTGTGTGTGTGTGTGTATATGGACTCAGAGTCTGTGTGTATGGACTCAGCAGTCTGTGTGTGTGAGTGTGTGTGTATGGACTCAGCAGTCTGTGTATGTGTGTGTGTGTGTGTGTGTATGGACTCAGCAGTCTGTGTGTGCATGGACTCAGCAGTCTGTGTGTGTGTGTGTGTGTATGGACTCAGCACTCTGTGTGTGTGTGTGTGTGTGGACTCAGCATTCTGTGTGTGTGTGTGTGTGTGTATGGACTCAGCATTCTGTGTGTGTGTTTGTGTGTGTGTGTGTGTATGGACTCAGCAGTCTGTGTGTGTACGGACTCAGCAGAGTATCTGTGTGTGTATGGACTCAGCAGTCTGTGCGTGTGTGTATGGACATGATTTGACCCACCTGGCCACGATGGAGTGGGAGCTTTAACTGGAGTACAAGCAATTATTTGAATTTGAGTCTGTGTGTGTATGGACTCAGCAGTCTGTGTGTGTGTATATGGACTCAGCAGTGTGTGTCTGTGTGTGGACTCAGCAGTCTGTGTGTGTATGGACTCAGCAGTCTATCAATAATTCAAATTCCTGTGAGTTGTTGTGTAGGAAGGGCCCCAGTGCATTGTTTTGTTAAAATGGTACTGCTAGTGTGTGTCAGTGAGCTTCTATTTAGTGAGCATGTGTGTGTCAGTGAGCTTGTCTTTAGTGAGCTTGTGTGTGTCCCTGAACTTCTTTGTAGTGAGCCTTCTGTTTATACAAGTGAGTTTGTCTGTAGTAAGCTTGTGTGTGAGTCAGAGAGTTTTGTCTGTCAGTAAGCCTATTTGCACATGTCAGTGAGCTTGTGTGCTTACTGTACTATATATATATATATATATATATATATATATATATATATATATATATATATATATATATATATATATATATATATATGTTTATTGACTTGTAGGAATGGCATACATTTTTTTTCCAGGGCTGCTTTGGATTCCCAAGGATTCCCAGTTTGGCTCTGCCAGCGAGTGCACTTTACCGATGAATCATCTATATGAGCTGCCGCACACTTTAGCCCTGTTACACACGTCTGGGAGCCGCTGTTGACAGGTACTAGTAGTCTAAAGATTGGGACATGGGGTATATGCTCAGCTATCTGTATAATACAGATATGTGTGTATATAATATCCCGGGATAGTCAGTGCTTCCTGTATAGTGCTGCTATCTGTATAATACAGGCCTGTGCCTGTATAATATCCCGGGACAGTCAGTGCTCCCTGTATAGTGCTGCTCTCTGTCTTGTGATATTATACACAAACAGACCTGTATTATACAGAGAGCAGCACTATACAGGGAGCACTGACTGTCCAGGGATATTATACAGAGACAGTAATTGATATCAAGGGTAATGTGTTTGTTTTTTAATAATCCCTGGTGGAAAATAATGAATCCTCCACCAGGGATTATTAAAAAAACAAAACACATTGTGTTGGGGCGGGGCTTAACATGCAAAAGGGGCATGGTCAAACTGCGGCAAGGGCGGGGTTAAATGTGCCCCCCTACTTTTGTCCCTGGCCCTCCATGTGCCCCCCTAAAAATGAATCCTAGAGACGCCACTGGTGTACTTGACTGGCAGGATTGATCAGACAGGAATGCTGGCACAATGTCCTTGAGGAGGTTTGTTGTCTCCGAAGAGAATCCCTCCCAACCATTATGCAATGATTTTGGGATCAAGTTAATTTGCGGATGCAGTTCTAAAAGAGCGGGAGAGGGAGAGCAGCCCCTGGCAGAATATGTGTTCCAACTAGAGGAGCGGGTCCAAAAAGAATTGTGGCTGAATGAATGGTACCAGGCTTTAAGGTGGTATGCAGTCCTGCAGTACCCATTTCTACAGATGACCACCCTACAAGGGTATGGGCTATAATGGCCCTGGCCTATTGTGGGAGGCCTTTGAGGATAAAGTTGAATTTGGAAGTCCTAAAATGTTCAGTCTTAATGACATTCAGGAAAATAGGGAAAAGGTACTGGATCTCTCAGAAGCAACTGTCCTGGAACATGATTTGACCCACCTGGCCACGATGGAGTGGGAGCTTTAACTGGAGTACAAGCAGTTATTTGAATTTGTACAGCAGCAGGTCCCGAAGACTAGGGGTTTAATAGACTTTACTTCTGATGATGTTGGCCCGGTAGATGTGAAGAGAACAGTGTTCTCCACACCTGATTCACAGCTTGCCCAGATCCTAACCCCTGGGGCATAGGGACCCTGCCAACCCTGCAACATTCCCAGTGGGAGCTGGAGTTACTGTTAGTGGAAACAGCCGGCCCGCCTCCTCAACAGCAGTCAGAGTTATTGAGTTTCACTCCCCAGTGGCAGTGTGCATTAGAGGAGATGGTTTGTCTTCCTCCCAAGTGGCAAAGGGCTACCCCAGCAAAAGAACTGGCATTGGGACAGAGGACCTCTGGCCTCTGCCCCCAACTTGCAGCAACACTGGGACTTGCGAGCAGGGAGTACAGCCTTTTAATGATGGTGGAGCATGAGGAGAAAAACCACACCCACAGCAGAAGAGCTGGAATCTGGGCAGAGCACCGCTGGTCTCTGTCCACAAACAACTGAGGATGTTGACCCAGGAGGTGTGGATGGGACCGTGGTCTCCACACCTAGATCACAGTGATGTGTGACAGTTGGCTCAAAGCCCCAGCTACCCTGCCTTCTTTTCTGCCACTGAGAGGTCTCCAAGGAGAATGGGCAGTGAACATTTATCTCAATCGGTGGATATATGCACTGACCCAGGTCAGCTGGGTAAGTGCTGCTACTATAGACACAGAAGCCTGGTCCAGGGTGGAAAAGGCCATCAGTGATCACAGTCAAGCCTCGGCGACTGGGTCTGAAGTGCTTCAGGGTCCCTGATAGCTATGAGGAAGCAGACTTGGCAGAGGTATGCATTCGGAGTCCTGGAGCTCTGTCACATACATAAAAAAAGAAAGACACACATATACCTCCAACTATATATGTCTATAATTGTAACTCTTTCTTACTTGTGCAGATACCTCTAGAATGGACACCTTTTAATCTAATCCCAAAATCCCTCTTGTACTCAGAAATGTGTGGGAAATACATTCTTAAAGGGAAAAAAATATAATTATTTCTATATTGATGACAGTAATCTTATGGTCCTCAAAGGGTTAATTGTGTCCAAAAGGAGTACAAGCAAACTTTCTAAAAACTTAATTCATTGAGAAAAACTACTCATCAATTAGTTTAAATAACACGATTGAAAAAAATAGAGAACAAGAAAGAGCTGACTTTTTAGTTTATAAAGATAAACATATTTTAGACCCCCCCCCTCCCCCCCTCCCCCTCCCCCCGACCCTTCCTATCATTTATATAAGGGAGATAGTAAAAAAAACCATTGGCATCGACTGAGACAAGATTAAATTCTTTAGGACATTATACCTGAAAAAACTAATATTGTTTTTAGAGGAGCCCCAAATGTTAAATCCATCCTGACTACTAATTTAACTAGAGAACATACCCTCAAAAAAACAATTAGAATCCTCCTTCATTTCTGAGGCAAAAGGGTTTTACAGGTGAAAACGCTGTAAAGTATGTAAGAGCACTGACCCCTCCATACAATCTAAAACTACACAATTAACATCTAATAGAACAAATAAGACTATTAAAGATTTTATTAGTTGTAGTACGGAATATGTTATCTACCCTTTGGAGTGCCCTTGTGGCCTCCTATATGTTAGGATGCCCACAAGTAGTGATGTACCGAACGGTTCGCCGGCGAACGGTTCCTGGCGAACATAGCATGTTCGCGTTCGCCACGGCGGGCGAACATATGCGCGGTTCGACCCGCCCCCTATTCGTCATCATTGAGTAAACTTTGACCCTGTACCTCACAGTCAGCAGACACATTCCAGCCAATTAGCAGCACACCCTCCCTAGCAGACCCTCCCACCTCCTGGAAGGCATCCATTTTAGATTCATTCTCAAGCTGCATGCTTAGTAAGAGGAGGGAAAGTGTAGCTGCTGTTCATAAGATAGGGAAAAGCATAGCTAGGTTAGGGATAAGGGTATGCTTTTTTTAAAAAAAAAATTTCTATGTAATGTAATTGCACTTAGTTGTCTGCCACTGCTGCCA